AAACGAGTTAGTGTACACTTAGTGCAAAAGTGTAAAAAGTTCATGCAACGCGAACAAACCTATTACCAACAATCAAATTGTTTAGTCTATGACTATGACAGTAGAGTGTATAGGCCGGTTCAAAGCCATGGTCCTCTGAGGGGGGGTGAGGGGCGAGAGGAACCCGAGGCGCGGGGGGGTCTACGTCACGGGAGGGGAGGGGGATGATATCACGGATGCGGGCGAGGGGGGTATGACGTCACGGATGCAGGCAAGGAGTATGACATCACGGGGAGGGGTATGACGTCGAGGGGTATGACGTCACGGGAGGGGGAGGGTGACAGGAAGGAAAATGACGTCTCAGGGTGCTGACACATCATATTTTACCATCTGAGTTATTTATTTCTACTACGTTAACTTGATTATCCATTTCATCCGTTAACAAAACATTTAAACATGTATCAAAACCTTCGTATTCAGGAAAATCGAAAATAATTGGATCTGAAAAATAATAAAATTCAAACTTGTAGAAATTCATATAATAATAAATTTGCTATTAAATTAAAACATTTGATAATATTATCATAAGTTGATTAAAAAATTATGACAGTAATCTGAATATGAATTATAGATCTTATTTGACTTTATTTGTTGATCGACTGTTTCCTAGTAAAATTTTCAAAAACTTTATTCAAATTGTACTTGCACAAAATTAATATTATCACTTAATATTATATTAGTAGTAATAATACATATATAATTATGCCTTATGTAAATATAACAATTAAGTATTTAAATAAGTCATTTTATCTATTACTTGCGTTATCAGCTATTTTGTCATTCAGCGAAGTATTTTGGAAAGGTATATTGTTTAAATTGACTTCGAAAATACTTGGTTGAACATCTGAAAAAGAAAATATCATTATATCGAATGACTAATAAATAATATTTTTATGAAAAGAATGCCAAATAGAAGATAAGTGATCTCAACTTTTATGAAGAAACAAGTTTATACAATGAATCAAAATATGTCCTTTTTAGATTACTTTTTCTGCTTATATATTTAGAACCTTATTTTTGGATATTTTTTTTGTAACGTAGTATCAATGCCTGTCTAAATAATTATTTATAAATTTTTGAAAGAGTAAAGATGATAGATAAAGTAAAAACGTTTTTGTTTACTTTCGATTCAATAAAACATTTTTCATTAACATTTGAAGTGATAACAAAAGTAACTAGAGATTTTTCACTGAAGTGGTATTTCTCAAATCTACTTTTGTTTTAAACACTATACTAATGATATACAAAAATGAATCAAACTTACTTCGTTGAGATCGTTTTTCTCTATAAATTTATTTAGAATTTCATTTCTTGATAAATTATCATTAAATTACTACAAAAATTAATATCTTTTTGAAAAAATAAAGACACTATATAAAGTAAGCGAAAAATATTTAGTTACTTTACGACTTTAAAACTTTAAATCATAACGAAGATAACAAAGACATTTCAATGCATTGATATATTTGTCAAATCTATTCGATTAAGTATACCTTCGATATACAAAAATGCAATTTAAAATTAATTAAACGTACCCTGCTGATTGTTCTTTTCTGTCAATTCATCTAGAACTTCGCTTCTTAACGAATTAGCAGCAATATCTAAAACGTACATTTACATTGTTACGTCCAAGCCCCAAGATTCTTTATTGGATAGGAAAATTTAGGAATCGAGGAGGGGGCACGGGAGGACGCAACTGATGCTCTTGTGGCAGACGCTTTAAGACGCGTGCCACAAGTCGGAGACGCAATAAGGTCACAGATATGGGTCAACGTCAGCGTGCGACGCTATTACCCAGTCCTGCGACTGTGTCTCCGTCGGTCCCCTTTTAGATCAAAGAACTTAATCCTTTTGATCAGGGATCGGACCGTGCGACTTAGTGGGATGAGGAATGAGTCGAGGGAGGTTCTGAGTAAATTACAGGAATAAACGTAAAACAATATGTTTATTCTTAATGCATAATTTACAATCTAAAAGTGAACTATTAATTAATCGAACTTAACATTTCTATAAATTATTTTAATATTCTTTTTTAGTTGACAAGATTTTTATTCTTAATGCATAGTTAACAATTTAAAAATGAACTATTAATTAATCGAACTTAACATTTCTATAAATTATTTTAATATTCTTTTTTAGTTGACAAGATTTTTATTCTTAATGCATAGTTAACAATTTAAAAATGAACTATTAATTAATCGAACTTAACATTTCTATAAATTATTTTAATATTCTTTTTTAGTTGACAAGATTTTTATTCTTAATGCATAGTTAACAAT